CTTCCGCCGTGTGCCGTTACCGGTTGGGCAGTTGCGCGTTGCCTGCCGCAGAGTTGGGCACCCGGCGGGCTGAACAGTATCTCCTCCACCGAGCTGCTCCTGCCGTGGGGAAGGGGGGGATGGCCCGGGAGAGCCGCTTTACTCTGTAATGCTTGGAACAGCGTGCCTTAATCTGTGTATGTCTTCAGTAAAAGCTCTGGTCTGCAGCAGGTGGTTGTAGAAGTACATGTGACTTAAATTAGCCTGGTAACAACAGTGGAGCTGCTGCTTTAGAGAAGACAGTGGTGGACACCGAAGTATTCCTTTACTGTTTTCTCCAACTAGACTTGTTACGGTCCTTATTGGATGTTCTCTGACCCCCTGTGCCTCATGGGTCTCGGGAGTTTTTGGTGCATGCTCTTCTGACCGTGTGAATGGCAGCTGCACATACTGACTTGACTATAACATCTTGCTAGTCAGGGTGATTCACATCACTGGTTAGCTTGTTGCAAGTCAAAACCCTGGTTTCGGAAGAGAGTCCTCAGGCAGCTGCCCTCTTCAGAGCTTAAAATGTTTTTCTTGGGTGAACAAAAAAAATATAATTATGTGATGCTCAGAAGTATTGCTTAGTGGTCTTGTTTAACTGGTTAATTTTTTGTAATGACATGATGCCTTTCATTTAATTGTTTTGATTTTTGCAGTTGATTCTTCAGGGGGCTCATCTGAAAGTATAAATTCAAAAAGCTTTGAAAACAGTGAAAGAAAATGTCACATAAAAGCTTTAAGGAAATGAGGAAAGTAAACATTTCTAGCTCATTGGAGTCTGAAGATATTAGCTTAGAAACCACAATACCAACCGATGATGTTTCTTCCTCTGAAGAGAGAGAAGGTACTGTTAAAATCACTAAGCAGCTGATTGAACGGAAGGAGTTGCTCCATAATCTTCAGCTGCTTAAAATAGAGTTATCTCAGAAAAACTTGATGATTGACAACTTGAAAGTAGAATATTTGACCAAGGTAAGAAATGTTGCTTCTTTTGTCCTATCATCTTTTCTTGTTTCTCGTGCTTTTAGAGTATGATAGAAGCTTCCATTCTGAAAAGAATTTCCGTGAATTACATACTGGAAGCCTACTTAACTTTTTTTTTTTTAATGAGAAAAGGAGGAAACAAAGGTATGTAAAACTTAGATGATTTGTCCAATGTGTTTTACTTATAAATGGATGAGGAGGATCAAATTAGCTTTTACTTTTCTAAAAACAGAGGGAAAAGACCTGTGTTCTTTCAGAAATCATTAATAATTTTAACACTGACGTAATAGAGCTTTTAACCTGATCTTGAGGAATACTGGAAAGTCATCTGAATGCTATTCAATGATCTGTTAATGAAGATGTGGCTAGAATATACCAACATGCTAATAGTAGGAGATTTTGGTGTGTACAGTTTCCACTAAGATACATGAAACTAATTAAGAAAGGTGTAAAAGCTTTGCCATGTTTGTGTGCAGTCCACATGTACAACCTACTATATGCTGAGTCTGGCTTTCACTGGCTTGCTGCTCTGAGTTTAAGCCTAGTTTGAAATCAGCTGAACAAGTAGCTATTTGGCTGAAAAACATGAATTGTAGAACTAAATTTTTTTATTTCTAGCTCATTAGGGCAAAATCCATAGTGTATTTTGTGAAGCGTTAGCATATTTAGAGCTCTTTTTAGACAATTGTTATTGTATTTCCCAGTGCATTGGGCTCTCCACTTTTTTTTCTTTCAAGTTCTTTTTGTCAAATGTGTTTTAAAAATTACCAAGGTAACTTCTTTTCTTCGTTGTATATTTATATTCTATATGTTTAGATTGAAGAGCTAGAAGAGAAGCTTAATGATGCAATCCATCAAAAGCAGCTGTTGTCTTTACGACTGGATAGTCAGCTGGCATTACAGCAAGAAGATGCTAGGTATGACGGAAGTAAAACAAAAAACCTTCATCTTTAATAACTTACCAATATGAATTCAAATTAATTCATGGACAATACATGAGTAGGATTTCTTTTGCAGATTATATTAGTATTTCCATTCTACAAATGGAATTCATATATTCAACTTACATACAAGTAAATTTGAAATAAGCTCTCACTTGAAGTTGTGGTTTTGGTTTTATAGTTACCTGGATTCAAAATTTAACAGGAAATTCGAGTAAGAATGTTCTCAGAACCAGTGAAGAGCAAAAGGAGTAGGTAGAGGGGGCAGATTTGAAGTGAATTTTTAATAACTGCATCCTGGATGACTTGGGGAATGGTAAGGGGATAATGTCTAGCACTTCCAGTTAGGATTGCTTATTGGTCAGAAATGCTTTCAGTTGATGATGTAGAAACTTACTTTTTTCCTTGCTTTTCTGAAATATTTTCAATTAACCTATAGCTGAAAATAGACTGGCTAGCAGTCTTCTCCAAATTACTTTGTCAATTAAATGTTTTAACACCTGTAATAGGACTTTGAAGAAAGAGCATTACTTAATATTCTTATGTTACAGTAGAGGATGCATCAGCTTACAGGATGTGACTAATTCAAAGTCATATTCTGTAGTAAGCCTGCAGCAGATTTAGTGATGTGAAGCCAGACCTGAGATTAGTTACAGCAAAGTCTTTCAACTAAGAGCAGCTGGCTCTCAGGAAAATGTCTCTCATTCTGTGTGCTTATTTGCACCAGTGTAGAATATTTTTATGTTGGCCGTACTTGAGTTGTCTGAGGAGTGCTCAACAAAAAAGTACTAATGTGCAAAATGAGCATTAATGCTATTAATGAGCATAAAAAGATTGAAGTACTTTCCTTTCCCCAGTCTTTTCATTATTTTTCTTGTTTGTCTGTTACCTTACTGTTCATCCTGGTTTAAGAGAATTGTATGCTATGTGAGAATATGTCCATGTGTGACTGCTTTGCTGACTTGGGATTTTCTTTTGTCTTTTTGAAACAAGTGGGGCAGACATTGCTGTGAAGTACTAGCAAAGCTAGTATTTTTAATATTACTTTTTAAATAATGTAGAGATTATTGCATTTTGAACAATGATGTAATTTGAGTATGTTTTCAAGAGTTACAGCTAAAACCTCCAAAAGAGTAGGTCAGTCGCATTTGATTTAAATAAAATAAACACTTTGAAATATCTCTGTGACATGCAGTTTCTCTTGCCATATAGTACCTTGTCACTGGTGATAAAAGTAATAATAGTGTCTTAAGGCTGGAAATAAGGTTGGTTGTTTAAGTGTAGTGGTGTTTATTTTGTTTTGTTTTTTTTTTAAAGGACCCCAACTTTGTATGTTACACTAGGTAGAAAATAGAATCACAGAATCACTAAGGTTGGAAAGGACCTTCAAGATCATCAAGTCCAACTGTCAACCCAACACCACCATGCCCCCTAAACCATGTCCTGAAGTGCCATGCCTACATGTTTTTTGAACACTTCCAGTGACGGTGACTCCACCACCTCCCTGGGCAGCCTGTTCCACTCTCTCAGTAATGTTTGACCACTCTCTCAGTAAAGAAATTTTTCCTAACATCCAGTCTAAACCTTCCCTGGTGCAATTTGAGGCCATTTCCTCTGGTCCTATCGCTAGTTACTTGGGAGAAGACACCAACATAGTGAAGGGTCGTGTGTGGAATAGGACATAAGCATGTATATGCCGAAACTTGGCAAGATACAAATTAACATTAGTATTGCTTTATTTGGTGATTTACTAGTTCCATAGTTTTTGTGTGGTAATATATTCTTCTTTTCCATGTTTTTAACCTTTTAATCGGTAAACTAAGACTAGTTTATAAATTCAAGTCTGCATATGTGGAGATTGTCACTTATCAGATTCAGATTTGTATTGTCAGTGACTATGAATTTTCTGGCTTTTTATGTATACTGTGTTTGATCTGATTGTGTAACCATGGTGGTCTACACTCTTGTGCTAATGTTAATTACCTAATTTCTCTGTAAACTTTCCCCTCTACAAAATGAGCATAACTCTCTCACTGTCCAGGGTATTGTGAAGGATTGTCACTTGTGTAACTCGCTACTTATTGTTTTCTGTTTTCAAATCCATCTTGAAGAAAACATCAGGCTCTAATGAAACAAGAAATGGAAACTATTTTATTGAGACAGAAGCAACTGGAGGAAACAAATCATCAGTTAAGGGAGAGGGCTGGAGATATCCGTCGTAGCTTGAGAGATTTGGAACTAACAGATGATTGCTATGAGAAGCTGAAGTCTCTCCCTGAAGATCAGCTTTCTATCCCTGAATATGTTTCTGTGAGTATTGTGTTTTGTATTGGTTCAAAATATAGCTATATCCTGGGTCTGGCTGGGATGGAGTTCAGTTTCTTCATAGCAGCCTGAATCTTGCTGTGTTTTGGATTTGTGGCTAAAACTGTGTTGGTAACACACCAGTCTTTAGGCTATTGCTGGACAGTGCTTGCACAGCATTCAAGGCTTACACGTTTCCCCACCCTGCCTCCCCCAGTCCCCAGCGAGCAGGCGTGGGGTAGTTATGAGATTAAGAGGGGACACAGCTGGACAGCCGACCCGAATTGGCCAAAAGAATATTCCATGCCATCTAATGTCATGCTCAGCAATATAAATAGGAGGTAGAGGATGAAAGAGGAGGTGGAGGGGGTGGCTTCCAGTTGGGGTGGTTATTGCTCAGACACTGTCTGAGCGTTGGTCTGCTTGTGGGAGGTGGTGTGTGATTGTCTTTGAGTGGCCTTTTTTTTCTTTTTAAATTCACCTCTGTCCTTCACTGATTAAACTGTTGAGAAAACTTGACACCTGACTTTTCTTGCTTTTGTTCTTCCCACTCTCACCTCTTCCTGCTCCCACTGGAGGCAGCAAGTGAGTGTGCTGACATATAGGTGCTTGGCTGCTGGCCAGGATCAACCCACCACAAGCTGTAAATTGCTTTTATTTAGAACTAAAGGGATGTGCATGTAATAGAAGCCAGTCTGTACTCTTGGAGTTCCTACTTTTCCCCAACTAGAAATGAAGGACCTTCAGAAGCAGATGTGCTTCTGGATCAGTTTTTGTTATGACTGGCTTCCAGTAAAGAGGAGAACCTTTTAATCCCAGACTCCAATGGGATTGATAAGAGGCTCATAAGAGATTGATAAGAGATCTCATAAGAAATAAGAGACTCTCTGTCTCTTTAAGACAAAGAGTAGAACTGCTAATGTATTTTAAGAAGGTTAAGCAGATGGGGTGTTACAATTAAATGGTGGGCACACATTGATGATATGAAATCGATTAGGCTGAAAACAGGAATTTGAAACTTGCCTTGCCAGAACCACAAGTTGACATGGCTCATGCAAATACCTTTTACCTTTCTCCTCACGCTTTCCATCTGTCCCTTGCCTATCTGACTAAACACAGGAGATAAAGTGTACCTTAAAGTATACTTTAAGACTAATTTTCTTGATTTAAGAAGTTTGTTAATCATGGCTTATGGGTAGATGGAGTGGCAGGGCGGATACCCTGCTTGCAATAAAAAGACGGTGCTTTCACAGACCGTGGGACATGTCCAGAGCCTCCTGGCACACTTCTGAGAATGAAGAGGATTTAGACATGTAAAAATTCACCAAAGTATTAGCATTGTACTTATCTCTAGAGCTAGTTATTAAGGAAGCTATAAATAACATAATGTCAAAAAGCTTAGTTCATTTGTTGCTATATAAATGCTCTGTGAATGAATTCTCTAGCTGGATGAAAGTCATGGTATATGGTGCTCTAGATATGTACAGTGAAGTAAAACATGTAATTCTTATCTAAAGAATGTTCTTGGGAATATCTTTTCAAAAGTTCCAAAACTTGGACTTTTGAAAGTACTAGGAGAATCTTAAGGATCTGATTGATAAACAAGAACACTTAGATTGGGGCCTACTGGGTTATTAGCCCCTGTCTGTTGTACCCACTGCCCTCTATAGAAGTATTTGAGGGGTTTTTGTTGATTCTTGCACCACCATGGTCACCAAAGCAGATTTTTAACGCAAACTGAAATCCATGTCAGCCTGCTTGAAATTGGTGTGCAGGAAGCTCCAGGACTTCAGGAGTTGATTGCCAGTGAGTACAAAAGACTCTGTAGCCAGGCAGGACAGACACCAGGAGTTAGTAACCTTGCCAGCTGCTTGAAGCGAAACTGTCACAGCACAATTAAGAGTGCTTAGATTGTTTTTCTGAGCAGAAGGGGTCTCTAAAAAAAGAAGTGAAGTGGGAGAGGTGAGTAACAGCTACCTTCTACCCCTAATCTACCTTTCTTTTCCTCTTGCATTGAACCAGTAAATGCTACTTTTGTCTGTGACCCAAACTCCATTATTTATGTGTTCAGTGAAGCTCCTTTCCTCTTTACACATGTCACTTTTTTCTTTTGAAGAAGTCCTTTTCTGGCTAAATATTCCACCTCCCCAACCCCCCCCCCCCCAAAAAAGGAATTGTAAAGATATACTGTACTCAATTTCTTCTGGCAACGGGATCAGTGTGAACCTGAGTGTATCAGTTAAGCTCAGTCATTATCATTACTTTGAGTTACTCAGCTGGTACAGATGCTGGGAGGCTACGGAACTGTTCTGCATATCCTGTCGCTACATTCATTTGGCTTCTGAGGGCTAGGAAAAGGATGTTGAAGGGAAAAAGTAACAGCAGAAAATGCTTAAATACAGATTTTTTTTTTGTAGAGAGATATTGCAAGTTTAAAATACTAGAATGAAAATAAATGTGAGATGTTTTTCACTGTTCTTCCACAAAGGGGTGCAATAGTGACATGTTAGAACAAAGGCTAAGCTAGGGAATGTTTAATGTTAATGATGATGACAAATGAAAAATGGTGTTTTAAGCATCTTTCTTTTAAAACTATCCTTTTTTGTTTTGAACTTACGTGTAAAAATTTAGTGGTTTTTTAACTTTATAAGTGGTTGGTTTTTTTTTAAGAAACAGTATACACAAAATTTTACAGCACTTCAGGTTGTTGAAGTGGTACTTGGCAGCTGAATCAATTTGTTTGGTAAAGTGAGCTTCTTGTGTATTCTCCTGTAAAAATTTTTCACCAAGTTCTTTAAAAATGGTATTTGCAAATGCTGTTTGATCCAACTTCAATGACAATGTCTTCTAGTTGCATCATTTGTCTCACTACAACACAGTTGTTCCTTGTTTAAGGCAGCAGTTAACTGATGCAAATACTTTCACATAACTTCATTTAACAGAAGCAAACTTTCTCTTCCTCTGCACCCACCCATTTTCAGCTTAACTCTAGTTTTCCATAAGAAGTGGTGGGCATGTGGTAAAAGGTTTTTAAAAGATTGCCTAGTAAATGGTAACTTTTTCCTTACAGCATATGTTAATTTGTAATTTTTAAGATATGCAGTAGTTTCTGAAATCCCATTACAGTACTTTTTGTTTCTGCTATATTGATTCGGCCAGAGGCAGTGTGTGCTTTGACTGCTGAGTTATGTGAATGTTTATTGTCTGTCAAGCAAGCTAAGTAACAGTAACAGTTGAACTTATGGTACAGCCTTCCCTTCATGTGCTGCATTCATTTTCACTTTCTTCTTACCATGGATTGATCTTTTCTTGGGAAGGCTGTGCAGATATGTTTATCCTTGATACCTGTATCCCGTGTCATCTTGGTTTGATACTGGCTAATCTGTTTTAGGGTGGTTGTGATTTGGGAAATATATGTGGCACAAGTTAGGTTTCCTAGGGAAATCACAGCGAAAATACAGGAACTTAAGGGAAAAGCTAGATGTGGTTTAAAAAACCCGACAGTGCTTTAAATGGTTACCAGTTAGTGACCACGAAGGTTATTTTTTAAGAAAGAAAAAAAAAATTGTAATAACTTTTTTGGGGAAAGATGATTTGATTGAAATTCAGTTGCTTGGTTTCAGATGTAATCAGACAAGTTCATAAGGAATCCAGATATATGAAAACTGTAGTCAGCGGAAACTGTAGTTAAGAGACTAAAATTCTACTTACTCGCTGCTTTGCATGTGCATTTCTAAAGTTTATTTTTTTTTCCTAAGGAAGTAGTTGAAGCCTGTTGTAGTTCGTAAGCCAGGGAGAACCCACAAAACTAACTTCACTATTTGATTTCAAGCAAACCCATTAGAAGCAGTGGGATTTCAGAGATGGACATGAAAAAACTCAAATATTGAACGAATAGAATATTGCAATTAAAAAAGTAGTAACGAAGCAGTAAAAGAAAGCATTAATATGCAGTTAGTTCACTTCCCAAAATAGAAAGGCAATTTATAGTTCTAACTGTAGCATTTGATAATTGAATTTCTCATTTGGAATTTTCAGAACATGAACAAAAAAATTATCATACCTTATTTTGGGTTTAATTTTGCATCTAAAGGTAAGGATGAAAAGTGGAGCTCTCTTGTAGAATACAACAAATTCAAACAATTGCAACTTTCAGCAAGCACAGTATTTGGAAAAAATTGAAAACAAAACCCCAAAAACACCACCACTTTTTAGAAAATTTCACTTCTCTGCCTTACTACTAATTTTACAGTTGTGTTGCATTACTTGCTTTATTGCATAAAGCAAAATACACCTACCTTTACATCACAAATTTCCATGGCTTCTTTCTGTGTTGCTAATTATATGGAACATACCTGGAACTTTTCTTTGTCTTCTGCTATTTACAGGTAGCAAAACAGACCTGTCTTCCTTCTGCATGGAAGTGTAGTGCAGCTTGCTCTTGAACACTTACTTTTATCTGTGCATTCTTGCTTGTACTTCTTCTTTAACCATATATCGAACAAAGCATTAATGATGAGGTGTATGGAGTAGCTTTTGAATGAAAACAGCGCTTAATTATCTATTCTTTTCATTCCTCAAAACAAGGTATCAGGATAATCTGGGAGTAATAACTGCTGTGTACGTGTGTGTGGGTGTATATCAAAAAAGCTCTTTCTTCTTTGTTTTGTCCCTTTTTGTTTCCTTTACTACTGACTGTGGTTTTACTACAGTGTTTTCTAGTATTTTTTCTTGTTCAGTAGAAATGTTATGGAAAAGTTTTACGAATCTGAGACTTACTTCTCTGAGACTATGCCTATGACTAGAGTGGCCACACAGTGTGTTATAATTTTTTTTAATTTATTTTTAAATCTTTTACAAGGCTTTTTTTCAAGGCTTATTTAGCAGACTGGAGTCTTTCAGAGGCTTAGTTGCATGGTGCAGCTGAACCCATATAGGAACAGGCTACTGCTGAAAGTGTGCATGCGGGGGGGGGGGGG